TAATGACGTAGTTCGTGGTCCACTAGGTTTGTGGTTGTGTGGATTTGGAATGCTTCCAGATTTCAATTCTGAAGGTCTGCTATCAATGGGAGTAAAAAAAAAAAATGAGGAAAAAATAGTTTGCCTAATACGATGAGCCATTTTGGGAGGAGGTATTTATATTCATTGATATTTATGTTCTATTATGGGTCCAACATTGTTATTTGTTTTTTTTACATAGTATTTTTTTCTGTTAACAACAGAATTATGAACTTGTCAAATTGCATATTGAAATTAAGATCGACATGTACCGGGTTTTGGGTTGTCGGCTTTACGCTCGCGGTATCTCATGTGATAAAATACATTTCTTGTAGTCTGACGGGTTACACATTAAAAGAGACTTGATAGTAGTGCTTACTCGCCTATTGCTGGACGGTCTAACTCTATCCTTATACACGGTGGGCCAGACCCCCTTACCGTGCACCCCCCCACATCCCTATAAATTGCATATCGTTGTGTTCCTTGTAACTATTTATTTAAAAAAAGCCAATGTTCCCACAAAAAAAAGTGAACGCACTGCCCCAAAATGGCGTCCAAAGATGGCGGATTGACGACTTTGACTTTAGTTAGTTTTTTGGTCACTGAGAATCAGCATTTGGCTTAATTTCCTCATAGTTGGTCTTTTATTAAAGCTGAATAGTCATAGAATAATAAAACATGAAGAAATATTAAAAAATAATTTGTTTAAGCTATGAAAAACACCAGTAAAGTCAATTTTTTTAACAAAAAAAATTTCAAGTTTCAAATCAAGCGTCGTTCGTAATTAAACGGCCAACAATAACGCAAAACAGGCTGAAATAAAACATCTGGAGAATACATTTCTCTTTCTAAAACGCTGATTATTTTTAAAAAAATTTTAAGCGGTTCCGTAGAAAACGGACTTATGCGGCAGAAAAGCGGTACTAGCGTGGGTGCCTATAGGCCTCTACTACACCATTCAGTACGCATAAATGGCTTAGTTATAGTGATATAATAACTTTTTTGGTACATTATATTGGTTTTATTAACGAACAAATATTAATGCAATAATTTAATTGTAAAAAAAAAATTAAAATTAAAAAAAAAAAATTATTATTATTTTTTTTAATTTAACCTCCTTTATTATATACGTAGGTCGTTTAAGAAGACCTCAATCGTAAAAATGATATAATTATAATAATAAAACTTAATTAAGAAATACTTTGCTAAATATCTTGATTTTTTTTTTTAACGTTTGCAATTTAACACTGTGTTTTGTATATTTACTGATTCTTAGAGGTAATTAAAATGTTTATATGCTTCCCAGGAAATGAGTCATATTAATACCTGTTTTATAAACTAAAATAATATATACCTGATCTGAACTATATATAATGAATAGCTACCGGATCGTTTAGTAAAACTCATATATCTCATATATATTATTAAATTATTGCATTAATATTTGTTCGTTAATAAAACCAATATAATGTACCAAAAAAGTTATTATATCACTATAACTAAGCCATTTATGCGTACTGAATGGTGTAGTAGAGGCCTATAGGCACCCACGCCAGTACCGCTTTTCTGCCGCATAAGTCCGTTTTCTACGGAACCGCTTAAAATTTTTTTTAAAAATAATCAGCGTTTTAGAAAGAGAAATGTATTCTCCAGATGTTTTATTTCAGCACGTTTTGCGTTATTGTTGGCCGTTTAATTACGAACGACGCTTGATTTGAAACTTGAAATTTTTTTTGTTAAAAAAATTGACTTTACTGGTGTTTTTCATAGCTTAAACAAATTATTTTTTAATATTTCTTCATGTTTTATTATTCTATGACTATTCAGCTTTAACAAAAGACCAACTATGAGGAAATTAAGCCAAATGCTGATTCTCAGTGACCAAAAAACTAACTAAAGTCAAAGTCGTCAATCCGCCATCTTTGGACGCCATTTTGGGGCAGTGCGTTCACTTTTTTTTGTGGGAACATTGGCTTTTTTTTAATAAATAGTTACAAGGAACACAACGATATGCAATTTATAGGGATGTGGGGGGGTGCACGGTAAGGGGGTCTGGCCCACAGACTATTACCTATGTCATCGTAATATTATATTTCATCCGCGTTTATTTTTCCCAATATGCACGCCCTAATCTTTAGCGTTAATATTTTGTAGATGTTTTCGTTAAAAAAAAAAAACGTTAAAAAATTCTCTATTATACTGGCTTGGTGGCGTAGTAAGCATGTTCTTGCAATTCCTTTAATATGGTACTTAAGAACTCATTAAGGAACCGTAAATCATACAAGATTGCGGTGACACAATCGATGAAATTCAACTCCGTAAGATCGTGTATTTTCCAATATAGAAGCAATTATATCAATTGTCTACTTGACAGATCCTATTTAGAGCAAACCGATTCTTCGCCGTACAAAAACAAGGAGGAAAAACAGTTTTATAAAAAAATTTTTAAGTAAAAAAATTCCTGGGCTTCAAAAAAAAAAAAAAAACAAGTGTAATATAAATATAAAGATAATTTATTTTCAAGCAAAAATTAAACTCATATTTATTTTGTTTGTAATACTTTATTTATTCTATGTCTCAAGAAATATTACCTATATAATAATGCCTTTTTTTTTTACAATTTGTTGAGATATATTTATGTAAATTGCATTTATGAATGGATGCCCTTAAAATTTAATTCAGATTTAATTAAAATATATTTATTTTAAAATGCTCTTATTTCTTTCAAAATTCTAACAGATTATCATTTAAAAGGAACATCAAGAGAAACATTCTTTTTCCAAAAGTTATATTTTCTTCTTATGTAGTTTTTTTTTTTTTTTGTTTAAAATCTAGAAGGCCAATTGACGTTTTTTCTGTCTGCTTAGAACCAGTATCTTATTATTTTAACAGTTTTGTGAAAACAATAAAAGAGTTCTACGAAAGAAGGATACAAATTTTAAAATCGAAAAAAGTAAAGAAAAGATGTTGCTATTATCGAGATCGAAAAAGATTTCCTTTTGACTATTTTCATTTGGAAACCTTTTAAAATACTCTCTGATAGACAAAAACTGAGACGGAACTAATACTTATGCCCTTTATATCTTTTAGATCTTGAAAAAAAAACACCTGAAAGTATGTTTTTCTTTTCCACTCCTTCAATTTCCTTATTAAAAACAAAAGTTAAATATAGATTTATCATTAAAAATAAATAAAATATCCTTCTCTCAAGTGTTGTTGACTATTATGGCTTTAAGAAATAAAAATCTTCGCCAATTTATTAATTTATATTATTAATTATTATTACACATTATAGAGACTAATTAAGAGAGCGTAGATAGCAAGTTTAAATTATCACTTCTCGGCAAAGTTGTTTAAGTTACCGGAACGGAACTTGAATTACATCCTCTTTATCAAGTCATTCTGGTTGAAGAGGACTAGAGCTAGTTTCGATCATCACAATTGTCTGTTTCTCGTTAGAGAAATTAGCTATTTCCACAACCTGAGAAATATTAATTAAATAGAAAGATTTGCGAAAATGTGATAAAAAAAGAATAGATAAGTAATTTTGATTTATTTATTTTGTTTAACGTCATTTTATTCACATGAGATAGTGACAAACCGCAAATGTGATGGCTAAAATTATAGTAATGGCGTGCTAAGGATGGGGAAGGTACTATCTATGCAGAACTTGATTTATAACTTCAAATCAGGTCTGAAGATTTTTCATCCAGCTCTTTTTCAGTTGTCTTCTAATGGTTACGTCATAAGTATCATTATTGGTTATGAGTCTGTTGTTACGTCAGCGAAGTTTATTTTGTTATAATAATACGTACGCTAATAATAAGTACGTTTGTCTTGGTTATTTTTAGTCGTTTATAGAGTTTCGTATTTTGCGTTCCAAGAATTTAATTATTAAAATAATCGCCAAAGATGGGTGAATTTTCTATTAGGAGTGAGTAAGACTAATAGTGGTGAGGGATAAAATAATGGAAAATTAGCAGCAGTTTTATTAGTGGGAATGATCATCGAAAGATAAGATTCATCAAGCATAACAGAACCTGAGGTAGTGAGGTTGAGCGTGTTAAAACGTTGCCTGTTTCATCATTCTGGTATATAGCGACAACGGGTTCGAATCCGGACTGGGTGGGTTGAAATTTATTTCTTGTTGAACTCACTGGATGAATCTTGACTTTTCCACTCCGCTTAGAAAATATATAGTCTTTTCTCTAGAACGAATTTTCATCCGCCGGTATGTTAGAAATGGTGAGTTAAGGGGTTATGTAATAAAAAATAAATAAAGAAGCTTTAGCTCAATAGTTTGCGTAACTTAAATTTCATCTACGGCCGCCCTAGATTACGGTATAAATATATCTTATCTGTCAAACGATTTATTTTATTTATTGAAATTTACAACTATATTAAAAACAAAACAAAAAAACAACAGTAAATGTGAAAAGAATAAAAGTAAAGACATGAACAGATCTGTCGAGATCCTGCTCCAATAGTAGCACTCTCTAAATGGCTCTAAGTAAGAAGATCCTAAGGCCATCTTCTCATATGCCAAGAAGGATTATCAGGAATCGAGGAGGAAGCAAGGCTGGAAACTAGTAGATTAGGATGGGACAGGAGTTGATCATGATAGGATAGGTATCTGACTCGGGTCAAATCAGGGACACCTCTCAAACGAACAATTATTAAGTTTAATATTACTTGTATATTATTCACTTATGTAACTATCTTCCTCCTTTTATGCCATCTTCGGTGATAGATTTTAATTTTTTTTTCTTCCATTTTGGTGAATTTCACGGTTTATTACGTTGTCGAAGGCCTGGTAGTAGGCCGCAGGCTTCTTAATAATGCTTCCTCGCAAACTGTGTCACGGTACGAATCTCCTTTTAAATGTAAACGTAAGAAAATACCTTTGAAGCACCGGAAGGTGGTGTGTTACAATAATGATCCCTTTCCACAGCTAATTCCCCCCCCCCCCATGTTGACTACAAATGGGAGGTAATGCTATAAGAAGTGTGTATGCCTTCACACCTGACGACGTCCAATTTACTACTCATTTCAAAGGTGCCAGCCCTAACCGGATCGAGGCGGTTCGCAGTAACCCCAGCATCCCGACACTCGCTTCCAGCATGTACGTTGCGAAACAGCCACTAATATACCTCCAATTAGAACCAGTCTGTTTGATTTTGGATTTAGTATTCGGCTTTGTTAAAGGCAAATTAAACTTTACAGTTTTAAGGAAAACGTCAGCTTATGGTTTTGAGATCGTATTGATATCTGTTTACTCTGTCGTGGAAAATATATAAGATATTTTCATACACCTTTAGCCGCAATGTATCTTGTACTTCTCCTTTGTTATACAAACTTCTCTCCATCGAAATAAAATTATGCTTGATATTATTTATAAGTATTATTTGGTTATAGTATAGCGATTCAAATTAGTTCACAAATTTTAAACCAATGCGCACCGATGTCCTATATGTCGAACGAAAGTGTCAGGTTGTGTAGTATCCGACTTGATGACTTAAAATCGCTTTCGAATGACGATCTATGTTGTAACAATCATTGTTTTTCTTTTTAATACCCTTCTAGTCTGGATTCTTGGGTTGGTGGAATCCATAAATTAGACTCAAAAGACATGAACTTAATCAAAGATACTGAATAGAAAATCTCAATTTTCAATTAACAACAACTCACTTATCTATTATTAGAAGAGGGTTTAAAACAGTACCTTGTGGTACACCCGCAAGTTGAGGAAAGGAGGGAGAAGTAGAGTTGAAGGAATATGTGGTTTTATTTTCAACCGTAAATCTTTGTGCCAGAAGCTATCGAACGCTTCGTCAACAGTCGAAGGTGACTGATATGGCGTCTACTATACGATGATACTGTTGTACAGTGGAGTAACAAGAACGAAAGTCTAAGATCTAATTGCCAAAAAAAAAAATAAATAAAAAACCTATAGTAAGTGCCACATTCTATATAAGAAACAAAACCCTACACCATGACTTTAATGTCCCATTTGTTCTAGACTTTGTCCCAGAAACATACTCCAAATTTCACCAGAACCTTACGTAGCATCCAAATTCCCTTGCAAAATTCCTATCTACCACCTCTACAATCTTCCAAGAAGGTTGAAACGGCAGTGGCTCCGCGACCTTTATATATATATATATATATATATATATATATATATATATATATATATATATATATATATATATATATATATGCATATGCATATATAGGAGTTCTGGACGAGACATGAATGTATTTGACTAAAGCGCTCTCGCTTAATCTCCATTGGCTTTAAACCAGTGACGCGTTTCAGAGAGTAGCTCAGGTATCTCCTTGAGGCCTGTTTTTTCTCTATAATTAGAAGGACAAGCCTTGCTTGGAGTTAAGTCCCCCGGAACCGCGATTTGAACTCGTAAACTTCAGTTTATGGACAGGTTACCTTCACTTCGGTTGCTCCGAGCAGATTTTGCACACGCGTTAGCCCGCTCGGACACTCCGACTATAGAAATACGCGGCTTCAACCGCGAGGTGGCTCTCAGGGTTGGCATAAAGGATCCTCAGAGCCTACTTACCGGACTAATCACCCCACCAGTACCAGTAGTCAAATCAAAAACAACTTTTTTTTAAGGATAGTAATTAAATTTATAACGATATTTTGTGTAAAACAATTCTTTGATAAAGTACATTTTGAAGTACCTATTTTAAAAATAGTATTCATTGTTGAAAACTGTTTTGGATTCTTTTAAATTCCTTTCAACTGTTTTCTATCGCTGCGCAAACATTGCCGTAAGTTTTATCCGCTACATATTTGTTTGAATTTCAGTTGAATTAAACAGTTTACTTGAATATAGTGGTCTTCTTCTTTCTCTTTTTTTTTTTTTTTTTTTTTTTAAATGAAAACAGGCAATAAACCCGGCTCTTGGCAGGGAGAGGTTGTCGGTGCTAACTGCACCTTCTATTTATTTGGAAATCTCATTGTAAACACCTTTGAGATTTAAAGATGGTAGCTTTATTATCAAAAAGTATTAAAAAAAAAAAAACAATTTTATCTATCAAGTCTGCACATATTTCTTATTAAGATTTCTACGCTTGATTACATTGTCTATTTTTAGCAAATGTTGTGTTATCAACATATCAATACACCAATAAATAAGTGCATTTTGAGATAAAGGTTCTGAGGAGTTTGGTTATCAATTCGATGTATATTTTGAATTGTACAGGTTTCCTAACGAAGTAGCTTATACATATAGCCCTGGAGCCAGGGCCCAACACGTGACCTTATCGCTGGCTTGAATGTAAATTACCAAAAAATGTATATTATTCTAAGTAAAATGAGCCTCCTCTGCTTTCAAAAATGGCAGCTGATTTAAAGAATATTAGAACAATAACTTGAAAACCGAAACGGGAAATATTTTGGAAGTAATTTGAGAATTGTTTTCATTTTTTTAACGTGTATATATGGGTTCAAACATGTAGAAATTAAAATTGGTAACGCGAGCTACCAAGGATAACTTTTTACAGCCAAATAATAATAATAATAATAATAATCCTTTATTTATTCTAGGACGAGTCCCTTTAGAATAATACAGAGAGACAAAGATGTGGGAGCCTCAGAGATACATAAAATAATATAATAAAAGAATATAATTTGATTAAATAGTCAAAATAAAAAAAACAATAAAAGAAATTATAAGTTACTTTCTAATTTAAATCAGTTAATCATAAAAATGAAAATAAACATGAAGTGAAAATAATGAAAAACGATCTAATAATTTATATACATATTTACAGTGGAGCTATTTATAATTCTATGAGGGCTGGATGGATAAGAAATAATTAAACAGACGGGGTTTAAAGGTAGGAAGAGTTTTGGATTGACGGATGTGGGGAAGGATGGAGTTCCATAGGGATGAGGATCGAATAATAAAAGATTTATCGAAAGCAGCTGTTCGGTGGGCCATTATATATAAATCTGAAGACCAGGCCAGATTTTTTAAATCTTTTTTTGTTTTTAACATATAACTCCTAAAAGGTGCATCTAATTGTAAGCTGAAAATTTACCCTTTGAGAAATTAAATTAGAACCTAGTTTAATATAAATGTTGGTATGTAGTTAAGCTAAATCAATGTACGATCAATGTTCAGCTGTGCCATCACCTGACACACTTCCAATAACCTAGCACTCTTGCTCAATCTCCACTGGGTTTAGCCCTAGTGACGCGGTTGAGAGAGGAGTGCAGGGAACACCTGGAGTCATACTTTTCCCTCCACAGTTGGAGGGACAAGTCTGGTTTGGAGTTCTCTCGCCAAATTGTAAATATTGTATATAGGTGTGTATGTGTTCTTTTTATTTATTTATTTTTATGTTATTTTATTCTTATTTATTGTATATATATTATTTTTCTGTATAATTTATTTTATTTATTGTACATAGAATGTGAATGTGATCTGTGAACTCTATTATAAATGTCCTAGAGACAGATTGTAATATTTTTCAATAAATAAGTTTAAAAAAAAAAAAAAAAGTTGAGCTAAACTTGGATTATTATGGTATATAACCCGCTTAGAATATAATGGTTAAATCTATCCACTATATCCCACCTTTATTTTAGCTTTGAAACGAATGTAATTTCTACTTCTTCTTCTGCCTTCCTAGTTTTGTGTTTGTTGTGAACTGACCACCTAGGTTTTTCTTTTAAAGGGAGTTCAAAAGAACTTTACAAAAAAAAAAAAAAAAAAAAATTGCAATAAGAGACTTTTATACCGACTTGAAAAATAATCAGTTTTACTTGAACCGGTGCCGTTTATCTACAAGATAGTTTATTTAAAAGGATCAGTCGGTAAGCTCGGATTCCTTTATATAAATCAAACACCAGTTATAAAATGGGGAATTACTATAAAAATCGATACTTTTACTTTATTATATAAGAGAATGTTTGAGTTAATCGATTGTGTCAAATATATTTGGAAAAAAAATACGTATTTCAGAAATAATAATAATTTATATTTATTTTTTTATTTAATCCATTCAAATGATAATATATATTGTGTGAAGGGGCCCATAACAAAGTTATTAACTATTTTTAAAAAGTTTTAAGTTCATGAGCTGAATTTTTTTATGCAATGTGTTACAGGTCCTCTGTGTATTTTGCAGTCCCTCGGTTACAGATAACGAATCGGTCACAATGACTACGATTTTTATTTTTAATAAAACTGAATTTTCAATGGTAAATTAATAATAAAAATATAAATTAATTTTGTGATAAGGTTTCGAATAATTAATTGAATTATTATAGAATTTAAATTTCTATAACCAGAAAGAAAAATAGACCGTTTCACAATTCATTTAATTTATTAGAAAATATTCTATATTACTTGCTTGTTTTCTCATTATGAAGTATAAAAATTTATGCAAAAACGTTACAAAAAAATAATTATTCCTTTTAAACATAATTCAAAATAAAGTAGACTAAATATTACTAATTATTATTTTTTTTTTCTTTCTAATTTACATTCGTTTGAAACAAGGGGTTAGAGAATGTAAATGTTGACCTTATGTTTTAACGAGATTTGGAACCTCCAGTGTTTATTTAAAGTTGATTAACGTTATGAATAAAATGAGATTTTTTTTTTACTTTCATGTCAAAATGTTCCTGAAGGGAATTTTAGGATAAATTAATGGCCTTTATTTTTTATTTCAGTCACTACTTTTTTTTTTAAAGTAAAAACTTCTTTAGGCGCGTTTTTTACTTTTTTTTTTTGTGGAGAATGAATTAGATTGAGCCGTCAGATTTGGATGTGTAACACTCTGGTAAAGTCGGCTGGAGTCGATTAATTGAAGTGTTTTTGCATATGAATTTAAATATCTCAGAAACTAAAAATCGGTCCTGTATACTGTAATCGAGGGAATTGTTTAACGTTTCATCCTCTTTGTAATGGGCTATTATTCAAAATTGTTTCTTAACAGTACACCTTGTTAGAGAGGCGAAAAGGAAAAAAATAGTGTCGAAAACCAAACGAGTTTTATTGAAGATATGGATTAAAATATCTCATACACTAAAAATCGGACCTGCTTACTGAAAGCGAGGGAAATGTTCAGCGTTTCATACCCTTTATAATGAGCCTGTTGTTGTTGATGTTTTCACTCCTACCGTGTGATGTAAAGCACACACCTTACTTTTTTTATCTCCTTCCAGTTTAGATTTTTTTGAGAACATATATTTTGCTTTTTGTGTGTAATACCAGCTTCTTATTTAAACATAATAAGGTGTTGAAATATTTTTATAAATCTG